TTGTAAAACCTGCACTGTGTCTTCCCATTTTATTTCTGTTCATTGGAGCAAGTTATGTTGACATTATCTGTGTGAATGTGGTAGAAAGGAAATTCAAGAAAAGCGTACTGTAAAGGAAATGGTTTTGAGCAAATTGTCCTTAAATCAACACTAATTACCAAATACTGATTTTCCCCCTTAAGATAACAGAACAGGAATGCTAAATACAAAATTTAGCTAGCGTAAGATAATAAAAACTATGGGGATTCTTTTAAATTAGAGCAATGGCACATCCATAAAACAGAACCCTGCAGCAGTTCGCAGGAATTGGGTAGATCTATCCCCATTATTGCGGGACAATCTCCAAAACAGTCTGTTAAGTGAAAAAAACAGATCATAGATCAGTATATAAGCATCACTCAATTTAAGTTTTCAAATACATGTGTGTTCATTTGTATTGCACATGCATGCATGTAACTATACAAAAAAAGATTTGGAAGCTTATACAACGTCTATCCAGAAAAAGTCTAGTTATTGTTAATATAACAAGAACAGCCAAGATTGAGGCATAGGTAGACACATTGTGCCTCCTTGCACAACCAAAATTAAGGACAACAAAAATTTAGAACCAAAAAAACCAGCCAGAACTGACAGAAAATTGAATTGTACAGAAGTTCAACAACCTTTCATACAGATCGGTAAGAGGGGCAGAGAGGGGTAGCAGCAAGAAAAAGCGTGGCTGGCAGACCCAGGTTCACAGGCAGCAGTTGGCAGATCCCAGGTGTGGGGAGGAAAGGAGCAGACCCAGTGAGGTGTGCAAGGTGGCTGGCTGACCGCAGTTACACATTCACGCCCAGATAAACCAGGTAAAAATGGGCAACGAGACAGATCACACAACCCAGGGCCCCAGCAGTAGGAAATAAAGCTTAAAAGCACCAATTGAAAACACTTGTGGGGGTTGAGGTGCTGGGAGAGGCAGCCTCACAGGAGAGTTTGTTGGAGAGATGCACAGGGTCCTAGACTGTATACAAGCCCACCCACCTGGGAACTGGCACCAGAAAGGCCCAATTTGCTTGTGGGAAGCAGCAGAAGGGACTGAAATCCAAGAGAGAGCGGAGCAGGTGCCATTGTTCCCTCTCTGACCCCACCCCACATACAGGGTCACAAACCAGCAACTGGGTTGACCTGCCCTGGTGAATATGTAAAGCTCTGCCCCTCATACGTAATAGGCACAATAAGACCCCCCCCCAAAATGGCTCAAACAGAAGAACAGATCAAAGCCCCAGAGCCAATACATCTAAGTGATGAACAGATAGCCAACCTAGATGCACAGTTCAAAGCACTGGTCATCAGGATGCTCACAGAACTGGTTGACTTTGGTCATAAAGTAGATGAAAAAATGAAGGCTACACTAAGTGAAATGAAGCAAAATGCACAGGGAACCAATAGTGATGGGAAGAAAACTGGGACTCAAATCAATGGAATGGACCAGAAGGAAGAAAGAAACAACCAAACAGAAAAAAATGAAGAAACAAGAATTCAGAAAAATGAGGAGAGGCTCAGGAACCTCCAGAACATCTTTAAACATTCCAACATCCAAATTATAGGGGTACCAGAAGGGGAAGAGGAACAGCCACAAGTGGAACACTTATTTGAACAAATAATAAAGGAGAACTTCCCCAATCTGGCAAAGGAAATAGACTTCCATGAAGTCCAGGAAGCTCAGAGAGTCCCAAAGAACTTGGACACAAAGAGGAACACACCAAGGCACATCACAATTACATTGGCCAAGATTAAAATGAAGGAGAGAATCCTAGAAGCAGCAAGAGATAAGGAGACAGTTACCTACAAAGAAGTTCCCATCGGAATGTCAGCTCATTTCTCAGAAGAGACCTTACAGGCAAGAAGGGGCTGGAAAGAAGTCCAAGTCATGAAATGCAAGGACATTTTACATCCAAGATTGCTCTATCCAGCAAAGCTTTCATTTAGAAGGGGAGGGCAGATAAAGTGCTTCTCAGATAAGGTCAAGTTCAAGGAGTTCATTATCACTGAGCCCTTATTACATGAAATGTTAAAGGGACTTATCTAAGAAAAAGAAGATAAAAAATATGAACAGTGAATGGACAGCAAACTCACAGTTATTAACAACCATACCTAAAACAAAAGCAAACTAAGCAAACAACTAGAACAGGAACAGAACCACAGAAATGGAGATCACATGGAGGGTTAGCAACAGGGGAGTGGGAGGAGGAGAAGGGGGGAGAAGGTACAGAGAATAAGTAGCATAAACGGTAGGTAGAAAATAGACAGGGGGAAGGGGAAGAATAGTTCGGGAAATATAGAATCTAAAGAACTTGTGACACATGGAAATGAACTAAAGGGGGGTAATGGTGGGGGAGGGGGTGTGCAGGGTGGAGGGGAATGAAGGGGGAAATGGGACAACTGTAATGGCATAATCAATAAAATATATTTTAAAAATAAAAAACCAAAAAACAAGAACAGTTTGCCTGACCTTAATGTAATTTGGCAGCCTAGGAAAGTGGACTGGAGTGCACATGTGTAACAATGACGATTTCAGTGTACCAGTCAGTGGGGGCAGTGGACGCTGTTGCCTGAGCATGTGTAATGGCCATCGCATTCAAGATGACTGAGCAGAGCAATGAATCTGCATCAAATTTTACATTAGGCTTGAACATTCCTCCACAGAAACCACTGGGATGATTCAGAAGGCCGCAGCTGTGGGCAACTGGTGATTGGCAGATACATGACGACAGTGCATCCACTCCTGCATCACACACATCTCGTGTAGAGTTTTTTTGGTGAAACATCAAATCCTCCATGTGACTCAGCCACCCTACAGCCCATATCGGGCACCCTGAAACTTCTGGCTTTCCCTAAAACTAAAAGGGAAGAGATTTCAGACAGTGGATGAGATTTAGGAAAACACGATGGGGCAGCTGATGGTGATTTTGGGAGAACTGTGTGAGGTCCTACTTTGAAGGGAACTGAGGTGTCATTGTCCTGTATTTTTCACATGACATGGCTGGATACCTTCTGGACAGACCTCACATACTAAACTGTTTTCAGTGTTCTCTTGGAAAAGTAAGGGGTTCCCATTTGGTTGGAGGATAGTGTGTTGAGAGGACTTTCACTTTTCTTTATATAATTCCGTGTGCTTCAGTTTTTATAATGAACACTTTTATATCTGAACAAGTTTAAAATATTTAAGAAAACAAATGTGACAAAGCAGGGTCATTCGTCCTTCATTGAGGAGTTGACATTAAGGACACAGTGATTCCTGCCCTCATATTACTGCCAGTGCAGTGAAGGAGGAAGACATTGAACAAATAAACCCATATAAATAAATAATTTCAAGTTGTGATAAGTGTTATGAAGTAAAGAAACAGATTATTACGAGAAGAAAATTAATTGGGGCAATCTATTTTCAATAATGAGGTTAAGGAAGTCCTTTCTGAAGTAGTGATACTTCAGTTGATATCTAGTGGGATGAAGAATAGTTATCCAAGCCCCAAAGGCAAGGGAAGTAAAAGCAAAAATAAATGAGTGTGACTATATCAAACTAAAAACATTCTACACAGCAAAAGAAATCAACAAAACAAAGAGGCAGCCAATGTAATGGGAGGAGATATTTGCAAACAATACATCCGGTAAGGGGCTAATATCCAAAATATATAAAGAATTCACACAACTCAACAACATCAACAAACAACCCAATTAAAAAATGTGCAAAGGCCCTGGCTGGTGTAGCTCAGTGGATTCAGCGTGGGCCTGCAAACCAGACAATCGTGGTTCATGGTTTGATTCCCAGTCAGGGCATATGCCTGGGTTGCAGGCCAGTTCCCAGCAGGGGATGTATGAGAGGCAACCATACATTGATATTTCTCTCCCTCTCTCCTTCCCTTCCCCTCCAAAGATAAATGAATAAAATCTTTAAAAAAAAATGTGCAGAGGACCTGAACAGATAGTTTTCAAGAAAGACATAGAGATGGCCAACAGATACATGAAAAAAGTGCTCAACATCACTAGCTAAAAGGGAAATGCGAATCAAAACCACAATGAAACTACCTCTCATCTGTTAGATTAGCTTTAACAATAAGACAAGAAATAACAAGTGTTGGAGAGGAAGTGGAGTAAAGGGAACCCTTGTGCACTGCTGGTGGGTTGTAAATTGGTGCAGCCACTAAGAAAAACAGTACAGAGGGTCCTAAAAAAATCAAAAACAGCAAACCCTTTCCTGGGTATCTACCCCCCAAAATGTGAAAACACTTATTTGTAAAGATATGTGTACCCTATATTCATTGCAGCCTTATGTATAATAGCCACAACATTATAAATAACCCACGTGTCCTTTGGCAGATGATGGCATAAGGAAGGTGTGGCGCATATATACAGTGGAATACTACTCAGCCATAAAAAGGACAAAATACTGCCATTTGTGACAGCACAGATGGGTCATGAGAGTATTGTGCTAAATGAAATAAGTCAGAAGGAAAAGGACAAGAACCATATGGTTTCACTCATGTGGGGTATAAAACAAAAAGCAACTAATGAGCAAAACAAAAATACGAACAAACTCACAGACACAGATAACAGAATGGTGGTTACCAGGGAGGGAGGGGGAAAGAATGAAGAGGCCAAAGGGGGCCAAATATATGCTGATGGAAGGAAACCAGGCTTCTAGTGGTGAGCACGTAAGCTATATTATAAAGTTGTACACCTGAAATTGATATAATGTTATTAACCAATGTTATCCCAATAAATTTAATAAACATTTTTAAAGATTAAAAAAGGAATGTTAGAAGTCAGCAGAGGAAGAGCTTGTGGACGGACAGCAGGGCCTTCTGGTGTCCACCTGCTCTGGCATTTCCCTCGCGGGCCCTCTCGCACACAGTGTGGTCTGTGATCCGATTCTAGCCCTGGGCAGCCCACCTCCGTGGGCTCCTTGGACCCCAGTGTTGTGCTGGTCTGATCATTTTCTGTCTGGGTTGTGTGTGTTACAGGTATGAGACATCTCTGTTGGATTTGGTTCAATCACTGAGCCCAAAGTCTGCTTCTAAACCTCAGCCCCAACCCTCCAGAGAAGCCAGGGCCTGGAATCACAGACCTTGCCGACTCAGTTCTCTAAAATCAAACCGGAACAAGATGGCGGCAGGCAGGACCCCCGAAGACCTGGAGGAGAATCAGATTCTGGAAGATATCTTTTTCATTTGATGCCAAAGCACTTGCTGCAAAATTTCCATCAGAACCTTGTGGGGTTTTTAGTATACTGATCTAGGATTTAAAAATTTCTGATCACAAGTAATTGTGTCTCTCCTTTCACAGGGCCCTGTCTCACTAGCATCTGTTATGTATCGAATACAGAAATCATCCTAACAACCCAGGGTGTTTTGACCAGACCAATCAGTAGATAAAACACACTCAGGGGAGATGGGTAGTGTCTTCTGTAGGCCAAGCAGTGATGGGAACATCAGCGTGGGACGCTCTCTGCATGGCAGGGGCCATTGCATATGCAGCTTCCTTTTGAGAGAATTTCCTTCTCAATATTTTGCTGGAAAAGATTGGCTTTCTTTTTTACACAAGGAAAACCTACCCACTGAAAGATCCCTCTAATTTAAAAGTAGCTCTTCGTAACAAGCAATTTCATAAAGAGGGACCCTTTACCGCTGCACCCTGTTCTCTCACCGCCTGTCTCTAACTGTAGTCATTTAACTGCAGTTGGAGTTGGGGCTGCTGTTGGCACAAGCAACACTGAAGGCCAAGTGTGAATCAGGCTCAGTCGGCATCATCCTGGCAGGTGCTCCCCTGGTAACCAAAAGGGCTCAATGGGCTAAAGGGAGGGAGGGACCACCCCCCAGCCCTGGGAAACTGGCATTAAATCACACAAAAGTGACTACACTAGTCCCCACTTCAGAGTATGCTATTTTAATGTGTGCAACTGTTTATATATGCGTGAGATTTTAGGTTAGTAAATTATCTCTATGGCCATTTTCCCCATGTGGTTTTGATCCTGAGTTGCACTTTGGATATCCCGCATCAGCTCAGTAGGTACAGCTTGAAAGAAAGTAAGAGCAGAGCCCCAGGTTATCTAAGTGGCATTTCCCTCAGTCCCTGATAGAGCAGCAGCTCCTGGCAACCGGACAGGTGAAAGAACAGGCTCTCCTGGCCAGCTCCGGCACGCTCCCTCACCCAGCACTGCCCCTCTCCTAGGTTGTGTGGTTGCTGGCACAGAAGGTTCTGTGCACACCCCTGAGTCCCTTCTATGTGCCTGTCCCCCTCCCTGCTCAGCAAGGGTGCCCTATTTTAGCCATCTCAGATGGGAAAATGGGCCTGCCTGGTTGGCTTTAGGTGTGGAGAGAATGCAGGCGAGGGCTTGAGTGATGGAACGCCAGTTCTGAGATCACACCTATGGATTCAACTAAGGCAGCTAGACACCCTGACCTGTCCCCGGTTCCCCACGCCAGCCCGGCATCTTCACCTGAACAAGGAGACTGCGCAGCTGCCTCACAGAGGCAGAGGTGGCGGGAACAGTCACCACGCAGCCAGCTTCCAAACTGAAGATGAAATCCGTTTTCCTCCAGCTGTCAAAGGTTACCCTTGAGTTTAGGAACAAAGCTGGGGGAGAGTGGGGTGCGGGCGACACCCTAGTCCTCAGAGAAGGGATGTCCTGGCAGCCAGAGAACCAGTTTCACAACTCAGTTGCCCATTTCACGGTTTCTCAGAGCGGCTGTTAATGGTGGGTTGTTTCTAAGCCCCTAGAGTTCCATTATTCCTTTCGGGGGCGGGACCATCTAACCTCTCAGGCTTCAGCTTCACAGCTGTTCCCCTCCCTGCACACCTCCACCACACACACTCGGAGCCGGGTAGGCACCCAGAAAATGCTCGGGGCCTCGTCTACCCCACTGACACCCTAACCTCTCCCCCTCCCACAGTCACAGAATTCTATGGATGGATTGGACCTTATTGCCCATATAATTCATCAGTTTCATTGTACAGATGGAGAGTTCAGAGAAAAGTGACCTGTCTGGGCTCCCACATCCTGGCAGCGGCAGGTCTGGCTGCTAGGCTGGTGTCCTGCCACCATGGCGCGTCACTGCCTTAGCCCAGTGTTCCAAGATGAATGTCTTTTAGAATTTCCACGAGGACTGACCATTCATTCCACCACCATCTCAGAAGTGAGCCCTCACAGGCCACGTGGCCCAAAGTGAGGAAGAATGTCGCAGGTCCGCTCCTGGGGGGCTTGTAGGGTTTTAACCCTCCAGGACCGAGCACCACCATCTGGACTCTGCGTCAGTGGGCGTGGAGGCCCATGGGAAGCCTGTCTAAAGCCATATCCCTGGGGAAAGACAAACCTGTGCAGCAGCACAACAAGTGTGACTGTCTTCTCCAGATAGTAAAGGTGGTTATTGCTGTAGTTAACCTCTTCTGGAAATGCAGTGGCCAGAACGAGGAGGAGGAGGCCTACCTCGGGCAGTGGAGGTGGTGGCTGTGCTAGTAAAACCAGCAGGTTGGTACCTGAAAGTCCAGTGGGAATGGCCTGGGTCAGGACCATCAGAGGACTGTCTGTCTCATCTGTTTGGCTTCTTGTGGCCCAGGATGCTCCTCGGCACTTTCCCGGACTTTCCCCTTATAGGACAGTGGGCATGGACATATGTTTTCATTCCTCTTAGCAGATACTCGGAACTGGGTCTGCTGCTCATATGGAAACTTTGAGAAACTGCCAGGCTGTTTTCTAAAACAATTTGACCGTTTCACATTCTCATCAGCAGAGTGAGGATTCATGGACACTTCCTACTCTCTAAAATCCTCCCTTTGGCTCACTATTGCTACTGCTGGGGGTCAGCACTTGTCAACCCTCCCTTCTCCTCTCTGCTCTGCTTGCAACTCACAACTCCTGGCCATCTCCCAAAGCCACACAGCTCTTTTTGGCCTGTGTGACTTTCCTATGTCCTGGTCTTTTGGATGAATCTGCTTCCACGTTTCCTGAGGCATCGTTACAGATTCTCTTCTCCTGGCCCCAGCGGTGCTGCCTGGGGCCTCTGTTACAGCCCACCTGCAACTGCGCGGTGTGGTCTTGCGTGTGGTCTTCCCCATTAGAACACCGCATGCCCAAATAGGACATACACTGACCTTGGAATCCACCCAGCCTTGCCATGTGTGAGCTGCCTACCTTTAGGCAAGTTACATTTAACCTCAGCTATGATAATTTATAAAATGATTCCTAAAAATGGAGGTGACAGTCCCTGCCTTACAAGTCTGGTGCCACAAATGCTGACCTAACCCTGGAGGAAAAACCAGAGCGACAAGGCCAAGCTCTCCCCGAAAGCAGGGCTGAGCCGGTGTCCAGGGACCAGAGGGGCCTGCGGGGGTTTCTTGTACGTGGGGGAAAGAGAAGGCCCAGGAGGAAAGAGCAGGGTTGGGGTTTGTGAGAAAGTGGAAGGTTGACTAGAAGACCGGGCTCTGCCTGAGGTCCGGAAAGGACCCCCACACTGACCACCCCCTCCCCGCTTCAGTGCATGGCTGGGCAGCCTTGGTTGGTCCCTCCTGGCCACCACCCCACAGACAATGGCCTGATCACAGCCAGGATGCCCAAGGCCCACTGGGCTTCACCTGTTCTGCAGGTGAAAACTCTGGTTGTTTCCTCCTCATCCTTCTCTCCCCCACACATTGGCCCTTTAGGTTCTGAGGGGCCGGAGGAAGGGGAGTTCTCTGCCTTCTTGTTGCTGCCAGTTGAGACGGTGAACTTCGCAGCCCAGGTTCAGCACCCTCCCCCTCCCCCGGAGCTGGAGGTGATTTAAGCTTGCTGGATTTATATAACATTGGGAAACGGTAAACTGTGTAAATGTGCTATGTTTTCCGGGGACAGTTATTTATAGAGGGGCACCCTTAACTCCAGTGCAGCAGTGTTAAATCATTATAATAAATTCATGCTATTCAGACTTTCTTACATTGTAATAAATTTTTTCTAAGCATGAATGAGGAGATATTCCTCTAATATACCATTATGTATTTCTTCTCAAAATGACACAGCTTACTATATCAACTTGGAGAATAACAGAAGGAGATTTACTGCTTTGGAGAAAAAAATAGTTGAGTAGCAATGAATCTGAGAAAAGGACTTGGGACCACTGACCCCAAGGAACTTCTCCTGCCTCTCTGCTTGCTCGTGCCCCCCTCGAAATGTCCCAGCTGAGCTTCAGAAGAAACTTTGAGCAGAGAAATGGGACCAGGGACCCCAGGGGACTCTGTCAGGTCCCACCCAGGAGGAGGTGTCAGAATGGGGCTCTGTGAGAAATGAAATCTCTTCCAAAGCATCAGCCACCCTGCACGCAGCTGTCTCTCATCCCCTGGCTCACCTCACTCCTCACCTGGATGCCCACGTGGGCCCGGGATTCATAGCTTTCACCAGATTCTCACAAGAATCTGTAATCCACAAAGTTCAGGAATCCGAAGCACTTTTTTGACTGTCCATTGTGTATCAATACCAGGCAAAGTCCCTCAGCAGCTGGAGCTGTGTGAGCTGCAGGCAGGGTTCTCGGAGGCCAGTGCAGCCCCTGGGAGGGGGCCTTCAACCAGAATTTTCTCGGAAGATGGGACATTTCAGCTGGGCCAAGACAGGAGGAAGGGCGATCCTGGCAGAGGAACAACGTGTCAAAGGCATGGAGACCGGGAGCCCCAGGGGAGTGAGCGCACAGACAGGCCGGTGTTGAGCCCAGGAGGAGCAGCGGGGCCCAGCGGAAAGAGGCCTGCACTGATCCAATACTTGGCAAGTTTCTAGCTTCCCTAGTGCTCCGTCAGAGGCTCTGCCACCGTGGCCGTGTGACACTGTGCAAGTCTCACCACCAGTGCAAACTCCATGCCTGTGTCTGCAAAATGTAGATAGCACAAGTAGGCGCACCTGCCTTACCAGGCCCAGTCCCCTCGGGGGGCTGGTGAAAGGAGGCTCGTGCACCTGCTGTGTAAACAACTGCAAAGCACTTTAAACATATCAGGTGCTTTTATAACTGATCTGAAGGCTGGCAAGGAGCGGGGCCCCTCAGAAGCATTGGGAGCTGGGGCTTCTGTGCCAGCCAGGCAAAGCTCGGCTTGCCAGCCCCCAGCCCTTGCTGCCTACCACTGCAGTCCCCACCTCAGGCAGCGCTCCCCGCGCCCTCGCTGGCCTCCAGGGGGGCACTCCAGTGCACGCCTCCCCAGTTTCAGAACGTCCTCCCCTCTGTTTCTCCCGACAGCCTGGGCTGCCTTCCCAAGAGTTGAGACTGTGTCAGAGCCTTCACCTCGTCCCCTGTGCAGGGTGCTTGTCACCTCCACCTCAACAGCCCTGACCCTTCAGACCCCAGCCTGAGGGCTGTCAGGAGGCGGCAAAGCCAAGAGCTGTTCCAGAGTGGGGACCCCCGGGCTGCGGCCCACCTGCCTCCCTAAGGGTCCTGTGGGTCGCCCGCACCGTCCCTACCCCCCGTCCCCACCCAGTCTCCTCTGTCCGCCTCAGTGCGTTCAAACCCGTCCCTTCTCTCTTCAGAACTGGAGATGATGTTGTTTTCTCCTTCCGCTAGACAGGCTGCTTCAGGGGTGGGGACAGCCACTCCCGAGGCCAGCCAGGGCTAGACAGCATCTCACGGAAGGCCATGCGGCCCCCACCATGGTCTTGTCACGCTGCCCTTGACACCCACTTCTCATGTCCACGTTGGGGGGCTCTCAGTTTTTTCAAACATTTCATTATGCTGTCAGACTTACAGTAAAGTTTTGGAAATCATGCAAAGAATCTGTGTGTACTCTTCACCCACTTATTCTCACACACATATAAACACATATCACTTCTTTTTCTGAAACATTTGAGAGTAAATTCCAGACATGCTCCCTTCCTTTCCCCTAATAGCTCAACTTATATTTCCTAAAAACAAGGACATTCTCTTATATAACCGTGGTACGGTGATCAAAATCAAGAAATGAACGTTAATACAGTGCCACGATCTACTTTACAGACCTCACTTCAATTTTGCTAGGCATCCTTTTTATGTTTCCTTGCCTCAAATGTCCTTTTTAACAGAAGAGAAGTAAATTCTAACCCAGGATCGAATCTGCGATCACAAGTTGCTTTAGTTAACATGTATCTTCAGATGAGTACAAACCATTTATTTTGTAGACCACTCCCCACCCAGGTGGGTTTATTTGTTTTCTTGTAATTAAATTCAGGCTGCGCATTTTCAGCAAGAATAGTGACACTGTGGCCTTCTCAGGGAATCATACCGGAGGCCCCTGATGGCTGCTGCACCTATCATTCCAGGTGATGTTAACTTTGATCAGCTGGTTCAGTGACGTCTGCCAGGTTCCTCCAGTGTAAAATCAGCAACTTGGCTTTTGTAATTTACAAGTCTCGTGGTTGGCGCCTTGGGGCGGGGGATACTCTGAGACTCCACAGATACTGTTTCCTGTCTACCTTTCACCCACCAGTTACAGCATATGTTGATGATTTGGCACATGCCATTTAAACCCTTAATCCTGTGCTGTGTTTGCTCTACCCTCTTTCACCAGCTCAGTGCTAGGAACGAGATCAGAAAGGGAGACTGTTCACCTCTTGTCCTCGGGGCCTTCAGATGGGGAGGGAGCCGGCCGCTCACAGGGCGCAGAACAGTGGGGACACAGGCCCAGTGAGGTGGGGCCCCCAGAGTGATGGACCCTGCACGAAAGATGGGGAGAGTGGGATGGTCAGAAATCTGGAATAATATGAGAATCTGTGTCCATAGGCCGTTTTCGAGGGCCCTGTCAGACCCTGTCCCAAATGCTTGTCATCCAAGGAACCCCCAGGATGCTGAGAAGACCGGAACCACCAGCTTCTTTGGATTCCTGGTCAGAGTTGGGGCAAGGGGTGCAGAGGGCCCTTGCTGAGAGTGTGCTGGGCCTGGGGTGCTTCAGAAGGGGCTCCTGGGAAGCATTCCACACCTCTCTTTATTCATTCAGCACACATTATTGAGCACCTACTATGTGCTAGGCGTTGAGCTCAGTGCTGAAGGCACAGATGCTCCTATTTCTTGGTTCAGTGGAAATGCGTTGGGCCCAAAGGCCCCTTCAGATCACCCAGCACTCAGGCAAGGCGGCAGGTGTCCTCTGCCTGGGCTGAAGGTGGAAGAAGGTGGTAGGTAAAGCACAGCTGCATTCTCTGGTCCGGGCCACTCTCACCTAGAGCCCTAGGTGGACAGTGTCCCTCTGGCTCCTCCCACCTCCACTGCCTCTCCCGGCACTGAAGGGAGAGCCCCCGGCACGCTCCAGCTGGGCCGAATCTGCAATACCCAGGGTGCCTGCTCACTGTACCAGGAAGGAGACAAGCGAAAAGGCCCGTGCCTCTCCAGGACAGTCCTGTCTCCACTCTGGCCTGTGGTCAGACTGTGTGTCTTTGAGGCTTGAAAAGAGAGGCAGGGAAGAGGCTTCCGAGTGAAGAGGCACTTTGTATGACCACCCTTTCCGATGTAACACAGTGATTACAAGCATGGAACCTGCCATCGAGGGACCTGGCTCAACCCCCAGCTCTGCCGCACCTTGTGACTTTCAGCACGCCACTTCAGCTGGTCTGTAAAACAGGGTCCAGTGTTGGGGAGTTTACCCGAGATGATGTGAGTGGCTGGTGGTCAGCGAGTGGGCCAGTGTCTTCCTGAGCTTATTCCCTGCCTACCTAAGACATTTTGGGTTCTTCCAAAGGTCTGGGGTCCCTTCTTCCCCCACACCCCTTTCTCTCAGGCTCTGTTTAGCCCGTTATCCCTCCAGTCCTCGGCCCGTGTGTCTCCTCCCCCCCCAGTCTGGGCTACGTGCCTCCCTGGTCAGGGTGTTCCTGGGCCCCCTGCCTAGTTCCACCACATGATCCTGTGGTGGTCTTCTGCTTACCAGGGGACTTCTTTTCTTTTTTTTTTTAATTAAATTTGTTGGGGTAACATTGACATTGGCTCATGAAATTATATAGGTTTCAGTGTACAATTGTGTAATCAGGGAACTTCATGTGGTGAATGGGTACAGCTTTAATCTGGGCTCATTACTTCCTTGCAGAGTGGTGCTCCTTGCAGAATTACATCGAGGACTGCAGCTAATGCCTGCGAGGCACCGGGCATTGTGTCTGGACGTTGGCAGCTTGGGCACTGTCTTGGTCATTCCACCCACATCCTCAGCACTTGGCCTGTGCACTCTAAATGTCGGCTGAGCAGGTTAGGGAATACTTACACTCACTCTCCTGGGGTAATTTTCATTAAAAAGCAAAACTAAGTGAGGCCCAAGCCTAACCCAAAGAAAAAGTCCTGACCGTGGGATCCAAGGCCCTGAGCAGGACTGGAGCACAGTGGGCAGGTGTGTTGGGTTAGCACCGTGGCCCTCGTGTTAGTGCCTGGGGGCTGCCCGTCATGCAGGGTGAAAGGGAATCAGGGCGAAGGTGACTGCCTGCTCTGCAGCTCTTCTTTGAACCCCAGGAGGCGTGGAAGGTTGGCAGCACCTGGGTCCACTGGATGTCCTGCCATCCCAATGCCCCAGCTTCTGGAGGAGGAGGCGGGGAGACAGGGCCAATGATAATGACGACTCCATGAAAACTCTGGAGATGAGGGGAACCTCCCTAGCTCACCTGAAGGGGTAACCTTTAGAAATGGTTAAAATTGCCCCTTGATTTTGGTTAGGGAGAACCAGTTTGCAGACCTTAAAAATTTGCTTATAGTTTTCTCCAGATTTGAGTGTTCTGGGGACACAGAGCTGACGCAGCTTGAAAGGTGTGTGAACTTCAGGTAGGTGCATAAAATGTTAACAAGTATTACATTTATTTCCATTGAATTTCCTCTCCTCACTAATAAGAAAAGCTACGCAGGTCTTTGGGTTGTTGCTCTCTCCTTGCACGCTCTCTCTCCTGTCCCCACCCCCAGCAAGAGCTACC